ATATATGTGTTTATGTAAGGTTTATTTATTAGGTATGTATAGAAGTATGTGAAGAGAGAGATGGTGGGCCAGAATTCTCTCATTCCTTATCTGCATTACAAGACTTTCAAAACAATGGTTTCCTGTTTACTTGTTAATTCATCATTATAAAATCCAAATGTTGTTAGTGTTTCCAGTGTTCCTGGTGTATAACTGGAGTTTTAAGCATACCATTTGTTTTGAAAAATGAGATATATTACATTGATGTAACTTTTATAAAGGGAATGCAGGATGCATTAAAAAATCACTTTCCCATCATCTGAACGGTAACTACTGGGGACAGTCGCTCTATATTTTGAAAACAGTTTTTTAAACTGTTCTTGTACTCAGGATATTCACAAACAGTATATTTGAAAGCAAATCAATGTGTCACTTGATTAAGGTGTTATCAGTGATTTTGCAAGGTGAGGGGGGAAAATTTGGACTGCTTGGGTATTATAAAGGTTAAGAACAGTGTTCTGTATTTGCCACCCAGCATTCTTCCCAGGCTCTTCTGAGGGCATCTGTTGGATCTGCTGAGTCAGCCTTCTCTGAAACTCACAGAGGATTTGAGACAATAGCAGTGATGAAATTAGATGTGGGCATTTCGGTTCTTTTCCCTCCAGATGTTCAGAAAAGCACAGGTTTGGGCGGCTTGACCTTGTAATTCACACAGAGCTAATGCTGGAAATTTCAGTTTTCTCCCATTGGAACAAGCACAGCTTCTATCCTGGAGGAGCCTCAGGCCATTCCCAGACATTGTTTATGGCAAGAGTTCAGGAGGATGTGAGCCAACTCTCTTTGCTATTTGTACCGTTTATCTCCCCGTCCCCCATGCAATCTTGACTTTTTCCACTGTTATGAGGGGAAGAAAAAAAGAAAAAAATAAAAGGTTTAACAGTCTCTCTGCTTATGTCCCCAGTAAGCATAGTCTTCTCAATATGATGTGATAAGTCAGTCCTAAAGGGGATTTCAAGTATGTGATTAGTGACCAGCCTTGTCTGTGTTTCCTCTTCACATCTTTCATTTCCTCTCTGTATGTGTTCTGCCCTCAGACTGCAGTGAATACTTGGCTGGAACATATATGTTGGCGCAGACACTGATCCCCATTTCACACACAGAGTTTGACTAGCAGCAGTCCTTCCACTGAAGATGTCTTCTATGATAACCATTACAATGATTGCGTTTCATCACTGCTTTAGCTGGTTACTCTCATTAACAAAATCTGTCTTTCAAAAGCCTCCCATGTAAGGTATAGTTAGTTTACTAGTCTGTCTTCGCAGCTTTTTTTTTTTTTTAACCTTTGTGCAGCTGAAGATTTATCATTTTCATTTTCTTTTTCTTTTTTTTCTGGAATATATCTGATCCTATGATGCAGCATCATTTTTAGGACAAAAATAAGGGTTTAACTGGTCATTTACCAATAATCTCTTTAGAGGTTTTTTAAACATTTTTCTGTACAAAACTGCTTGGCATTTTTACTTTTTTTTTTTCTTCCTACTTTCATAAACTTTAGTCGCAAATTTGTTATTCTGAGATTTCACTGGATAGCTGGGTATTGTTGCACACTGGACGCTTCTCACTTCTCATGTATTGGTTACAAGGGAATGTCAGATCTCTGCTAGTACACTTGAATGCTTCTTTTGACGTTAACCACACTCTGCTCCTTGATGAAAAGAAGTGTTTCACAGATCCAGCTGGAAGTCTTCTATTCTTTTTTGGTCAGCGCCAAGTCCTCAGCTGCACATCATGTTCTTGTGTGTGAGCTGTAAGATAAGAAGGACTTTGAGGAATTGGATCTGTCCTGTTGCAGTACCTGGACATCAATTATTACTTCAGGTGATGATGCAATCTATCACTTACAGATTGTGTATCTTTGTCTTTGGCGGACACTAATGCCTCTGTGGTAGTTGTCCAAAATGGACATAAAGCATCTTGAATTCTTCTTGGAAATCACACTGCAATCTGTTCTCATGTTTTCCTGTGAGCCAGTAGCCCACAGATGTCTAATGGGTAAAGTCTCTATATGTTTTTGTTAATGTTCTTCCTGCAAGACAAATTATTTGAAAGATTTGAAGGAACCCTTCTTTATAGAATGTTTTAATTTTATTAACTTTATGATCAAAGACATAAGAAAAATGTTTTCTTTTAAAAAAAAAAAAAAAAAAGCGGGGAAAAAAGAATTTCTATTCCTGTTCTGAAACAGTTGAAGTAGAATGGTGAGAAATGCAAGGATAATAAAGACAGAATGAATAAAATTAATTAAAAATAAATACCTGAATGCTTGAAAAATTAACTCCTCATCAATTCTCTCCCCTGGTCAAAAAAGAAGAAAACATGCTTTATGCAAATTCAGTGAAATAAATCTAGAGAACACTGAATAAGGCCTGAGAATCCTTTCATTCTGGGTACCAGCATTTTGTGTTTAGACATGGAAATAGAAATGTTTTTGGTCACTGCACACCCCATGTGCATACATGTTTTGGGCCTGATTCTCTTGACTTGGATTCCAGTACTAGAACTACTCATTTTTAAATAGCTCTTCATCCTGTTTAGCTGGGCTGTTTTCAGAGCACATGCAGTAAATGGCTTTCTATATGAAGACTGAACCAGATGGCTTATTTTTCTTAAGCCCCAATGCAACTTCTTAAAGTACATATTGTCCATTTAATAAGCCAACTGTTAAAAACACAATTTGAAAGAGAACTTTAGTTTTGCCTTCCTCTCTTCAGAGAACTATGCTTTCTCATATCTCCTACTGCATTGTGTAGCTTAGTGGAGTCAGATTTTCCTGGAAGAAGGAGATGGTTCTGATGTGCTACATAAAGACTTGCAGCAGAGCCAGATGTGAAGTCAAGTGGGCTTTGTTCAAGCTCATTCACTGATAGCAATAATCCTTACACTGTATTTTACCAGTGGGCAGTTCCTTAGCTATTTAAAACTGCAGAATGGGCCTCAAACCTCAGCTTTGACTGAGAGTAAAGAGCTTTAATTAGAAGTTGAAAAGGAATCAGTCTTTTCTCCTGCTCACGAACTTGGAGAAAACAAAGAATACTGGTGGCGAGTCTGGACGATTTTGACAAAACCAAGCTGGAAGTGTAAATATATGACTTATACTTAGAGGACTTTCTCAAAGGACATATATTGCTAGGCCAACAATCATACCTTCAAAAGAACTAAATATTCTTTTCTTCTCCGCAAAGAAGATTGAGGCAGGTGTGCACAAATGCAAGAAGTATTCTGCCCATGCTAGTCAACTTTTTATTTTTATTTACCAGTACATGTAAATATGGAATTGTTTAAATAAAAGAACAAATTGCGAGTCATCACTGAGTCTTAATCAAGCTACATATCCTAACATGAGATATCTTCTGCTTATTCCTTGTGCTTAAGTCTAAGGGATTCTGCATAGTACAGAAACTACTGAGATTTTCAATGGATTTTGTGGACTCCAAATTAGTCTGTCAGCAATACAGCTTAGAAAGCTATCTTTTCACCTTGAACTCTTTATATAGAAGGAGAGCCATTTCCCTTTGTTATTATTTTTTATTTGAATCCATGCTTCAAAGAGACAAGAAGTGATGAAAAAAAAAAGGATAAATTAGAGAAAAAAAATCACAGCTAAATGTAGAAATAAGAGGAAAGAGCTGAATAAACTACAAGACCAACTTGCTAAGCAGCAATTTGTTGTTTTACTGCAAGATGTTATAAACCAAGACAAAACTCTATCTCCACACCCTATTCAAACAATGGTAAAAATTTGTAAGTTCTTTTTGTGGCTTTTTTGTGTGATTAAAGTATTTTTATATTCATTTATATTTTCTAGATATTATTTGTCTGTAATCTGTGCAAATCTACATATGCTTACTCAGGTTATCAGCAACTATCTGACATCAGAAAGCTCTAAATAGTACTTATAGTAATGGAATATTCTATTTATTTTACTACCTTCAGCAAACACTGGCCTATAAATAAATTTTATGAACTTGGTGTAGTGTAGGTGGAATTTGCTGCAGTGTTATCGAAGGTCTGAGTCGCTTGGGCCTGTAAGGCAGAAATGACTGAGGTTTTATGTGCAGACTAAATTAGAAAAATAAAAATATTTGAAATGTTTGAGAGGCAATGAGAAACAAAGCAAAACATATGACTGTCAATGCTGCAGCGTTATATTTCAAGTTACTGATGACTTATGGAGATGTGACAGCTATTTGTGAATAAGGAGATGCTATGGCATGCTGTGTTATTTAGGAGCTAAGATAGGAAGTGAGAGAGGAGCTTGCAGACAATCGTGCGCATGCCTATTTTGTGCAATAGGCTGCAGAAGACTGAGAACAAACAATTTATTTTATTAATCTTATTTTACATTCAAGATGTTTACAGACACTAGTTCTCTAAATTATTAAAAATTTAGATAAGTTTGCAAATTTTCTTCTCATTCTTTTTACGTGCCCTCTACTCTTCACTCTGGATATACTAGAATATATTTTTAACAGCTATTTTGTTCTCAAAGTGTTTATTGCAATTCTTTGAATTTCCATCTAATTTGACAATGTTTAATAATACATTCAAATTAATGTGAAGTATTCCGCTGATAATATTCTTTGAAATTTAGGAATCTTTACTAAATGAAAAGTCCATGGTTTCTCTTGTTTTTGTCATAGGGTGCCTTTCACATACAGTCCAGAAATTCCTTTGACTACTGTGACAACTAGAGAGGATCAGGAAATGTATAGTATCGTCTTGTCATGGCTTAATGAGGTTTGTAAGTGTATGCATGTCTTTCTGATTTTTATGCAGTTCATCTTTTATATTTATTATTATTATTATTATTATTTATAGGAATGTCTCTTTCCATTAGAGTATCTATCTGTGTTATTCCAGAAGGAGAAGGAGTATTTTTTTTCTCCCCCCAAGGATGTGTTTAGATCACTGACTGAGAATAGGAGAATTGTACTTTTTGGGTCCTAATTATTACAGTTTCTTTCAGCTGCCTCCACACGGGGTATCTCATCATGCACTGTTCACCAGAGGTACCTGAACTGTTGCCCAGGGATAGCAGGAAGAAGGGAAGGCCTACAGAAGACCTTTGTACTTCTCATCTGTCAGCTGAAGACCAGATGGAATTATTTAAGCACTGGACACCTGTGTTTGGTTTGTTGCAGTCCAGTGACACGTTTCACTTGCTCAGAGCTTTTCTCTAGAACAGTCATGACGATGTTAAATCAGTTGGAAGACTTACTGTTCACAGCAGTATCTGTGCACCACCCACAGCATTGAACTTTTTTTATAATTCTCATTTAGGTTACAAGAAGCAAAGAAACATTTTGCAGTGGAGTGATGCCAGTTTTCACCACCTGGATTTGTGTGTTTAATATTAGTTAAACTAAGGTAAATAACATATTAGGAAAATGAATGCTGAGAAATTCACCCACTGATTTTTTCTGTGGGATTTCAGTATACAATTACCTATTGATGCTCATGCTACTAAGGGGTTGATACAAAAAAAAAAAAAAGATTTTAAGTTATTTGCCATCTTTCTAATGAAATACTTCAGTAAAACTGTGTAAATACTTCAGTAAAACTGACAGCATTGCCTTGATCTTGGACTGAGCTCTGCGGCAAAAAGCATGGGTTTAATTTGAGGGCAATCAGATGCTAATTTTTAAGACTCATCTTTTTTATCTATGGTAATTTACAGCAAAGGAAATTTTGACTGTGGAAGGCAAGCAGGAAAAACAAAGCAGTTTGACTCAAATTTCACTCACACTCTTTGAATGGGGGCTGTACTGTAAATCAGATCAGTATCCTTATAGTAGTGCCGAGGGGTCTAAAAGGCTCTAAATGGATGTATGTCTTACTATCCTTGCATCATTCCCACAGTCTTGCTGGCTAATGGGACTGAATTTGTCCTTTTCCTGTGTTCTCTAATCTAGCTATAGTCTTGTTCTCTTCCTTTGTGTTTGATGTGAGGGGACAGAGACACGTTTGTCCTTCTGTTCAAAGCTTCCCCCTTTATTCTAGCCTGGCAACAATGCCAAGCAAGAAGAGGGCCATTTGCGACTTAACCTTTCAAAAGGTAACCTGGCATTGAGGTGAATGTGGGCATTGCTGCTCTTTTAAAAAACAAGGAGTTCTTTGAACAGCGAAGTTAACAAAACCTTGTTTCTTACAGCTTTAAACACTGTGATTTGACCTCACTTTCTTCATCTCCCCCTCCATTTTATGCTTCCTTCATTTATCCTCTCTTTTTAATGCTGCTTCTCTCCATTCCTCTCCCCAGGAATTGCAATGGAGCAGTTCTCTACACTTTTTTGTGTGCTTTACATTTGTCCCCTATTTGGCATGCCATCCAGAAACTACTTGTACACTGGATGGCCAGATGCGCGCAACCTGGTGTGAGGGAAAATGTTTTGGGATAACATTTTGGATATCTCTTAGGATATTTTCTTACCAGAGACTTTCTGGGGATTTTACAACGCTCTTCTATGAGATTGCATTAACAGCTTGAAAATCTTACAATACTGAAGCAGCAGAAATCTTAAATACATTCAATTTTTTTCTGTGTTTGGTGTTGTGATTTGGACCAATATTCACCAAGGCCAATTTACCAGTCACTAATATTTTTGTTTGGGAAATATCTGAAGCATTATTGATGGATCAAGGAAGTAATGTGTTACTGCTGCACAGAAACTTGCTTTTTCATTTCAACAGCAACAAAAGAGCTACTTCTACGTTGGTTTTATTTGCTGTTTTTTTTTTTTTTTTTTTTCCCTATGAAAATTGTATGATTTTTTTATTCAAATAAGTGTTAATTAATTTTTTAAGTTCTCCTTGTACTGTAATTTGAGTGGATGTCTGCTTGATCACTAGGAAATATTAATTCTCAACCCTAGCCCTTGTTATATAAACATCCGAGTGACCTTTTTATTACTACAGTAATACAACATAGCACTGTTTCTGTTTTTGTCTACAGCTGCAGATTGACTTAAAGGCAGGACTCTTAAATTATGTATTACATTAAATACTTTGGTCATTGTATTAGTGTCTTACCACATGAAAAATGATCTGTTTCTAATTTATTTAGTGGAAAGGTCTTCCATTTTACAATACTCTGTGTAGAAATATTCTGAAAGAAGGCCAGATATTCTGAAAGAAGTATCAGAAGATTTACATTTGATATTCTGGTACAGATTTATTGGCTGTTCTGTTTAGCATGCTCAGAGTAATTTTGTTATCACTATAAAATTTAAGATTGTAAGAGTGAAAGGGCAAAAGGAGTTATTCTATCATCTTGCTTGATTTGTGGTTTCTTCATAGATTCATAGGAGTTGGAAGGGACCTTTAAAGGTCCAACTCTTCTGCAGTGAACAGCAAAAGCTACAGCTAGATCAGGTTGCACAGAGCCTACTACAGCCTGACCTTGGGTGTCTTCATGAACGGGGCATCACCACCTCTCTGGGCAACATGTTTCTCACCACTCTTACTGTAGATTTTCTTATATCCAATCTAAATCTCCCCTCCTTTAGTTTGAAACCATTTTGCATGTCGTCATGACAAACCCTAATAGTCTTTCCTCTTTTTTCTTACAGCCAATACAGAACTATAGGTGAGAGAACCTCATGTCAGTTCGTAGCAATATTATGGACTATGTTCTTTTTTAATTCATTTCCAAGTACATCAAAGACAAGGAGACAGTTTGAGGCATGCCTTCTATGGTCAAATACTTTCAGTGCTGGATGAGCAGGGAGTAGTAGATGCAATATTTTGACTTCAGTGAGGTTTTTATACTGCTTCTGTCAATATCTTCATTTAGAAGGTGAAGGTCATGAGGACTGGATGAATGGACTCTTGTGTGGCTTAAAACAGGCCAGGCTACTAGGCTTTGATGAGTACTGTGATGGGTGAATAAATGCAATGGATGAACACTGAGGCCCATATTGTTCAATAGCTTTACCCAGACTCTGGAAGTTAAATATCCATAGACATTTTTATGGGAAAATTGAAAGTGTAAAGGACAACATTAAATTGGTATTGAGCTTGAGCTTAACATTTTCTTGTAGAAAGAGAATGAGTGGCCAGACACTCACAAACCCACAACTGACTTGGCTTTGCACTGTAGGTTACTGTACACTGGCCAAGAGACTGGAGTTGATAAGATCCAAGTATGACCTCCAACAATGATTCTGTGATGTATGGTTGTTTTTCTCTGTATCAAAGTAGCAAAACATACATAAATGATTCAGAGATCTGAATGACTAAGACTTCTTACTCTATCAGTAAACTTCATCACCAATCTGTAATATGTACTATCAAGTTATTATTGATTATGTTGAATGCTCCCAATGAAATGATAAATTGTTACTTTTTTTACGTGTGATTTATCTATTTGTTAACTTGTATCACTGATGAGGTGTTTTTGTTTGGTAAACAGAAATGGTTTATGTTTTACATAAGTCTAAATATAAAAAGTATACAGATGTCTTTCAAATATATAATTTCCCCTCGAAAATTAAAATCAGATCTGTTTCTTTGACCATTTTTCAATAAAACCATGGTGATTAGTACTGATTATCTTCCAAACTTCTTGTTTTGCTTTAGTTTGTCATGAATACTATCCTATGTCAACTGTAGCTTCACTTTGCTTGATATTAATGCCAAGTGACCCTGAAACTTGTGCTGCTATTTTGGTAAATGGCCTGTAGTTTGTCATTCCTTTGAAATTTTTCTTGTGTTCCAGAGCTTAGTATGCATGAATATCAGTAGCTCTAATGAGTCTTAAGCTCAAGTTATCTGGGCTAACCGATCTTGAAAACGTTTGGTAGATACATCCTTAGTTTTGTGGAACTGGCACCATATGAAGTGCTTGCAAGCACATGGGCATGCAACCTGTGGATACCCTTCTTTGCTTAAAGTTTTCATTATACACGGGTTCTTTTTATTGGTTATAAAGAGAGATGAAATACCTACTTTGCACAGCTAGGTACGTCATTGAGTCAGATTATTCTCTCCTGTTCCTACAAATGTTTTTATCACTTTTTTTTTTTTTTTTTTTTTTTTTTTTTTTTTTTAAGTCCAGATGCATCCTGTAGTGACACCAATTTTCTTCATGGAAAAAGTTAACCTTGAGGAGTAGTTTATCTTCTTGTATACTTTGGTTAATAATCTTTCTTCTACTTTGATCAATAGCTTTTTCTTAGCACACTGATCTGTATTTGTCCAGATTTCCTCAGACATGAGTTCAGTTTGTAAGCTTTTGTTTGCACATACATAATATATATTTATGCATTTATTTGACTATTTATTGCATTTTTTTTTCTGAAATAAATTATAGCCAGTGATATTTAAAGATGAGGGCTTTTTTGGCAAAGAACAGTGTGCAAAGATCTAGTAGTGTAACTGATGAGATGAAATACACAGTCTAAGTTATTTATATAATTGTCATTAATACAGCATCTTAATTTGTGTTTTCTATTTGAACCTCTTAATGACCCTTTTTTGCATTATTGGAAAAATCCTAAACCATGGTAAGTTTTTTAAGTGATAACATTAACCTTTCATTGTTTTCAGCATTCCAGTAACAAGCGTTGTGTAGGAGGAGTTCTTTGTCCCAAGCTCTTTCTTACCATTCTTTTTACCAAGGAAACACTGTATGAAGGCATTGAACTGCCCCAGTTCCTCTTCCTTCTCTACAACACTTCTCAACCACTTTGCTTAAGAATGAGGTACTGACCCTAGGACTTAAAGAAGAACAAGTCACTTTTCTTTTTCTCCTTCTGCTATCATCAGAATTTTCCAAGGTGAGGTTACTTTCTACTTGATAAATACTTCTAAATATTTAAATATCATTGTTGTTACATGTTAGTTCTCTGCAAATACTTGCCATAATACAGGAAAAGACACAGACACAGAAGGGCAAATGGAAAAGAGTTGGCTGTAAACTGAACTGAAGTCTGTAAAAAGAGTTTTGTTTTACCTTAGTTATGTAGGTAGAACATTGTACTGCTTTATTGCCCTTGTTCCAAGATTTTGGACCGCATCTGATTAGGAGAGCATTTAGAAATCTGGATGACCTCACTGCAGTAAAATACTTGAACAGAGAATCACTAGCTAAATAAAGCGGTGAACATTGCTGCTAATTGAGTTGCAGAGTTGTTGGTTGAAATTGTCAGATCTAACCTAGGTAGGAAGTATTTACAGGAGCAATGTCAATGATTATTCCCTTTGGCTAGCCCTTTCAGTGCTGTTTAGAAACTCTTGAATTTTTCCATTTTGTTTTTCCCTTTAAAGATATTTTGGGTCTGGTCTAAGTTCAGGATATTTGGTGGGACAGTGAATTTATCAAGAGTAAGTGAATATTGTAGTTTCAACTACACATTTTCACCTAATCAACTTCCGGTTCACACTTCTTGAATTTCTTCTTAACCTATTTACTACTAAAGATTTTGAAGTGTTCTTTTTGCTTTTCCTCTCATCTTAGTTATTCCTCATGTTTATGGTGATGACAATAACATTCAGCTATGGGCATCTATTGCAATTAAACCTAAGATCTAAAAATGGAGATGCTGCTAACATACTTTGGCAATTAACTCTTTTGGGCTTTTGGAAATGTATTGTTGCAACACTTCCAGCCTCCAAATTCCTTCACTCAAAGCTTGCTCAGAAAATTTACGTGCTCTCTTGTAGATAAAGCCCAGAATTCAGCCTTACTTAGAAACTGCAGTTTGGTTGCTTTTGTAGAAAGCTCCATATGGAAAGAGCTTTGAGTGTTTTGAGAACATGCTTTTACTTGTCACTTGTGTTCCAGTAAATGTCAGCATAAATGAGATCTTCATGATCAATGTCTGGGCTTTTTTACAACTTTCCTTTTTTTTATGCATAAATGCTTCCTGTTCTGCCTTCTAATCCTGCCCTGGAGATGTATAACTGTTTCTTATGACTGTTCCTTTTTCACTCTTTTCACTCTCATCTCAGTCCAAACTCTTTCAGCTGTGGTAAGCACACTATATTTGTAAACTTTTTCCTCTACAATAATGTTCTTCCTCACATATCTTTGCATATGTTGTGCACACTGCTACTCAAATACTTACATTGCCAGTTCTACAGTTTATTGGTACATAAATAGGATAGTCATTATCCGCCACTTCATCATTGTTGGTAAATGTATATGGTTAAAAACATCGTGATTCTACCTTTGATTTTTTTTTTTTAAGATTCTGTTTTGTAAGCAGGATGAAAAGCGAAAGGGAGACAACAAAAAGCCTGTTTTATTGACATGATCCTTTCTTAGCTCTGTGACAGAAGACATTGTTTTAGAAAGGTATTTTCCAGTCCAGTCTTATGTTGAGATTGATATGAATTTGCCCTGACATTGGGAAATATTTGAAAAAACTGGTGAATCTACTTTTTTTTTTTTTTATAATGACATCTTCTAATATCCTCTCAATCTCAGTTTCTGTTGTTCTTTTAGCCGTTCTTTTCTAATCCTTTCTTCATGTACACACACACACACACACACACATAAAGAGAGTCTCCTCTTGTAATATTCTCATAACTTCAGATGCAATCTTTTGCTCACAGCCTATCTTCTGTGACATTCAAAAGTGAATCAACTGTCCCAATGAAATGGAGAGTTAATGAGGAGATAATGTAGCCCATTCTACTTCTTTTCCTCTATTAGTAGCAGAAATTGAGTTATTCAGAAGCACAGACACCGAGTCACCATAAATCAAAGTATACTTTTTTCTTCACACCTTCTAAAGTGTTCTTTCCCCTTTCATTCACTTTGAGAAAAAGCACAAACTCCCAATCCAAATCAACAATTTCTCCCTTCCTTTAAAATGCTTGTTGATGCTGTGGTCATGTCCTGGATGCTTCCCGGAACCACCTCTTCTGGCATTACTCTCCTTCCCTTGATCCAAAGCAGGAATGTTAGGACTGTCAGCTGTGCAAAACCACAATGGTGGTTTTGCACACCTCCACATATGCTTTCTTTGTTCTACTGACCTCCAAATTCTTTTTACCACTTTGATAAATTTGTGCAGATATCACTGACCCTATAAAGTGTAATTTATAAGTCTGTTTCACTTCTTTATCACGTGCTCCCCTTTGGATCAGAAACTTCAGTCTGCTGAATGTCTCTCTCTTGTGGCAGTGAGCCAGTACCTTTATGGTACTGCAGGTCACTGCTCTCATACAGATATCATGAAACTTTTCTGTAATGTGGTAGTTCTAAACAGCAACTCATACCAGAAGTTTTACCAGTGATGTGCAGAGGCAAAAAGAGGACAGATGAATTGTGCTATAGACATATGTTCAACGATACCTGTTCTTGAACGGCTGTGTAACAGTGGTGGGGAATTATTTCATTGTTTTATTTGTACACTGTTCAGTATTCTTGTAGTGTCAAAGGTTTAACTGAAGTCTGATTTTTCTTTTTCTTCTCCTCAACAATTAGAAGACAGAAAGAAATGAAATAAGTGGAATACATTTTTAGAAAAGCAGACATGTTACAGATGCGACTGCAGACATATTTGAACCTGAGACAAATTTAACTTCTCCATGACCACATACTGATTTTATTCTATCCCTCCTGAGGCTTATATCTGCAAACACTAATTAGTTTTATACACATAATTAATTTTTTTCTGCCTCTTTTATTTAAAATATAGAAGGAGGTGTTTAAGGCTAGGTTGGATAAGGTCCTGGGCAACCTGAGCTGGTGGTTGGTAACCCTGTCTATGGCAGGGGGTTGGAAATAAGTGATCTTCGAGTTCCCTTCCAACCCAAGACATTCTGTGATTCTGTAGTTCTACGATTCTGTGATGATTCTATGATTCTATTTTATGTAAATCATAAGTTAAAACATACACTTAATTTAATTTCATCTTAATAGTACCAATGAGAAATAATAAGAGGTACTCAAATTTGATTAAATACAGTTCTAGCACTCTTGAGGGAAAACTAAACTATATGCAACTACAAAATGAGCGGGAAATACGGAAAACAACACTCTCCAAACAAGAAAAACAGCAATAGAGACTAATGCTCTTGATGTGACTTGGCAGAGTAGTACAGATGCTGATGAGCATAACAGTACTCAGCTCAGCAATACCATATTACCCAGACAGGCAGTGATGGGCCTGATGCACTGATTTCATCTTTTTCTATCTGAGGTAAAGAACCGCATTACAGAGTAGAAGGAAAGTAAGTGAAATGCAGGGAGCGTTATAGAGAATTCTTTTAAAGAAAACTCAAAGACAGCAAAATACATCGCTATTGCTCGGTCAGACCACAGGGAACAAGGTATGAGATACTGGAATCCTGAAAAAATCAACAGCGTTGGTGTATCTTTGCCCTTAACACAACATCAGGAGCATCAGGCTGGGATTAAGGCAGGGTTATTTTGATAAAGCCTTAGTAGAAAAAGTTTTATTCCTTTCTCCTGCCGTGTAAATGCAGAATTTATGTGACAAGTCATTAATCCACTCAGATCTTTGTCTGTTCAGACACTGGGTGGAAAATGTATATTAAGAAGTAAATTTCTGAGGTATTCCCTACCCATATTTTTGGTTATTTTCCTTTTCCTGTGCTAATCATATACTAAAAACCTATGTACTCCTTCTTCTAGTCATAAGAGTTAATGTTCTAATTGATAACATCGAGTATCTAGGTCTCCTACTTCTGTTCCTCACAGAATCTTAATGCTACTCCCAAATTAGAAGGTAAAATTACTACAGTTCAGAAACTTCATTTCAGGTGTGAAGGAAGAGAGCCTTGGCATATAAGTTCTTCTTTTTGTCTGCTAAGGTGATGCAGACCTTCTAGTGTATTCTATGCAACACCAAATCTTTCCCTACAAAGCTTTTGTTGTAAAGGTTGTGGTTTGCAATATATGGGAAACTGGTGTGAAGTGCTGGAAGAAATTTCAGTTTTGGAACATATCACATTGAAGATGTTGCGAGAGTTATTCTGACCTTGAAATTGTTCTCTTAACCTTACACGGACTGGATTATTTTTGCAAAACTGCTCGATTAAAAACAAGTGTATGAATCAGACAGAATACAAAGGCAATCTTTCTCTATAGAAGAACATACGACAGGCATCTGAAAGTAAATGAAATTAGGATCTTGTAAACTGTGGCAAGCAGAGCTGGGAAGGGATGTGTTGAAATCTTGTTAAATCATCAGTGATGTAGAAAACGTGAGCAAGGGGGGTGATCAGTCTTCATTTTTTGTGGATGATCTAGTGGGCCTCACTGAAATTGTCCTGCAGCAGTTTTAAAACAGAGGAAAATCTTTATGATAATAACTGCATTCAGCATAATTGAATTGTAGGAATCCTTTGGGACATGGTGGAGGCCAGAAGTATAGACAGATCTGGAAAGGAACTGGACAGAGTAATGAAGATTAGGTCCATTTGTGGATGTTTCTTGTACTCGTTAGATGTAAGCCTAGTGTCAGACAGTCCCACTGATCCCTGGAAGTAGGGCGCTTACATCAGGAAAAGAGCCCTTTTATGTGTGTTCTCTTATTACACTGCTCTGTAAGCATCTGGATACTGAATATA